CATGTGAACACCACTAGGCAGACTAGAAAAATCAATTCCACATGAAGGCTAAAATTACTTTTATCGAGATTGGCTATGATAGCAGAATCTTGCAAGAATGATTGTGCTATCCTTCCCTTCCTTCTTATATCCCAGTGAATTAAGACAGGCATCTGCCTAAGCTGTTTCCAAATTTATTTCACTGGATAAAAAAAAAAAAGTTTCAGACCTATTGTCTTAAGTAATAGTTCCTGCAGATCTCCGTCAATAATCTCTGCATTTTTTACTCTCTGCACCAATACTGCCACCTTTTTTGGAAGGATATTATTAACAAAGACATATATGATATTATTAGACAGTCACATATATTTTACTTAATAGAAATGCTACATATAAATAAATATAACAAAATATTTACATGAGGAAAAAAGACACTGCCCTCTTAAAAAATATAAAACTAGAGTGAAAACACAGCGCCTGATGTATTATCAGACTTGATAAATAGAATAAAGGTTGGTTTTTTTCAGAATTTGTACTTCTACCTAAACTTAACCCTGCTCTTAATTGAAATTTTGATTACCACATAACTAATTTCAAGCCAATATCTTTTTTTTTTAATTTAGAGACATAATTATTATGTCTCCGCTTTAGGGAATTTTCAATTAAAATGATCCAGAACTATTTCAAATCGTCTTTCAAACTATTTGAGGAAGACAATTCCACTACCTTATTGAAGAATACTGGAAGCCTAGAGGTTTTTTTCTGCTTGTTTGCTTTGATGCTTGATACTATAATTTACAAATCTCAGATAAAGTGAGGAGAATACAGGTAGTCCTCATTTAACAACAATTGGGGCTGCATTTCAATCATTAAGTGAAGTGGTCACTAAGTAAAATCACAGCTGTGCTTATGATCTTACTTCAGCTTTCCTTTGCTTTCCAGGCTTCTGGAAGTCATAAGCATAAGTTGAATGATCACTGTATGAGGCAGTCGCTGAACAAAGACTACCTGTACATTTCTTCATCCAAAAGGCAATGACATTTAACAAAAAAATAATATAGGATTTCTGCAACTTCCAGAGCTTTTATTTTCTTTTACTGACTTGATCTAGAAGTTCACAGATCTAATTCTGTCCTCACTATGCCCCACAGCTTTAGCATCGAGGCAGACACAGCAAAAACACTAATTTATTACAGAAAAACATACCTTCATGAACAAACCAATTCACATATGGTATATTTCCTAGAGGAAGAAGTATATTGATATTTGAAATATGGGTTAAAAATTACTCCATATATTTTATTTCCTCTTCAAAAAAACTCAGAAGGTTGAAAAATTATAGTCACATCCACCCAAAGGGGGACCCCTTGCTACATTTTTCATTGTTTTCATATTTCAAAAAATGTGTATCTGTTGGCAGTTCACTTAAATGAAAAAATAAATCAGAAACTTCCTTCTCTAGATACGATACATATTAATCATTCTGCTCATTCACTAAAAGATCCAAATTGTGTGATGAACTGAATACTCCTGCTGAAGTAATTATTTCCAAATGTCCCTGAATATCTGCTTTGGAAGGGAGATATCTGGATCTGTGATAATTGCTCTATACCTTCCTTCA